GCGCGGTATGAGCTTCTGTCAATATCTCTTTCCGCAACGCCTCGACTTTCGGCACCACAATCCTGCCACGAAACTCTAAGGCTCCATCTGAGCCCAAATGAAACCCTCGGCACCTCCGGCGCAGACTTTAGCATCAATAACGCGAACAAATTCATCAGACATCTGTCCCCGCCGAATTTTTTCTCTCAACGTTGGTTGAATCTGCATAGAACTGACACTCCCCGTGATCGTTGTAGGAAGTGCATCAACAATCTGAATTTGCATCCAGGCGAACTCTTGGATAAGATGATTTTGTTGAGTAACAACATAGGTCAAGTCACCATTCACCTTGCGGCTTAGGGAATCAGCAACGATATTTGCTTTCCCTGGATGATATTGAATGGTACAATCATAATCTTTCACAAGTTCTAACCAACGCCGCTGTCGCATGTTGAGCTCCTTTTGAGTAAAAATATATTGCAGGCTCTTATGATCAGTGAAAATTTCGCATTTGCCGCCATAAAGATAATGTCGCCATATCTTGAGGGCATGTACCACTGCTGCAAGCTCCAAGTCGTGTGTAGGGTAATTCTGTTCATGCGGCTTTAATTGACGTGAGGCATAAGCAACGACCTGGCCATCCTGTATAAGAACACATCCCAAACCCTGTCTCGAAGCATCACTATAAATGGTGAAACTTCGAGAAGGATCCGGAATAATTAGTACTGGTGCAGTGGTCAATCTCCTTTTGAGCTCTTGAAAAATGGACTCACAACGATCAGTCCACTCAAACGTGGCAGACTTCCTCGTCAATTGAGATAATGGGAGGGCAATTCTGGAAAATCCCTCAATAAACTTACGATAGTAACCAGCCAAATCGAGAAAACTACGGACCTCAGATGGATTCTTGGGTCTGGACCAGTTTTGAATAGCAGATATCTTGGATGGATCAACCTCAATACCTGCCTGCGAGATAACATGACCAAGAAAAGTAACTCGTTGGAGCCAGAATTCACATTTGGAGAATTTTGCATATAACTTTTCTGGCCTAAGGGTTTCGAGAACAACCCTCAAGTGCTCCTCGTGTTCCTTTTGGCTCTTCGAGTAGATCAAAATATCATCAATAAATACAATAACAAACTGATCAAGATAAGGGTGAAATATACGGTTCATTAAGTCCATAAATACTGTCGGGGCATTACTGAGCCCAAACGGTAATACTACGATCTCGTAGTGACCGTAACGCGTACAAAATGCAGTCTTTGGAATATCTGACTCTTTGATTCTCAGCTGGTGGTAGCCTGAACGAAGATCAATCTTAGAAAATACACAAGCTCCCCTTAGTTGGTCAAATAAATCATCGATCCTGAGAAGCGGATATTTATTCTTGATGGTTAACCGATTGAGATCCCGGTAGTCAATACACATGCGCATGGATCCGTCTTTCTTCTTGACAAAGAGAACGGGTGCTCTCCAAGGTAAAACACTCGGCCGAATAAAACCGAGTTTAAGCAATTCTTGAATTTGAGTCTTTAACTCCTGTAACTCCTTCGGCGCCATGCGGTATGGTGCTTTAGAGACAAGACCGACCCCTGGAATAAGATCAATGGGGAACTCTACCTGCCGGATAGGTGGCCCTCCAGGAAGTTGGTCCGAAAACACGTCCACGAACTCACGAACAATGGGAACATCGTGAGGCGTCCGTGCTTTCGGTTCATCGCTGACAAGACTTACAAGGTAACCCTGACAATCATTACGCCGCAACATCTTTCTGTCTTTCGCCATAGAAATAATATGTGGTAAGGAACGAGTCCTGGTGCCATAAAAGGTAATAGAATCATCTCTCGGAAGATAGAGAGTAATCTCCCGGTCGTGACATCGGATATCTGCACGAAAACATGTTAGCCAATCCATGCCGAGAATGAGGTCAAAATCCCTCATCCCGAGAACGTAAGAATCGGTAGGCAAGACACGTCCACCGATAGAAAGGCTGAGATCAGTCGCTTTAGCATCAGTTACTATATTTCTTCCCGAGGCTAGACTCACCTCGAGAGGATCGACAGCAGACACAGTATGTACCCCTATGGCGTCGAGACATCATCGTGAAATGAAAGAATATGTTGCACCGGTATCGAACAAAGCGAAAACAGAAACATCATTAAGGATAATCATCCCAAACATGGTACCTGGGTGTTGATCTGCTTCCGCCTGATCGACTGCATAAACATGGGCTTGTTCTCTCCCGCATTGTTGTTGCTGAGGCTGTCTCGGTGGCTATTGTTGGGGCTGTTGAGGCTGTTGAAGTTGTTGTTGTGGTTGTTGTTGCTGCAATCGTGGGCAATTAGATCGAATGTGACCAGGTTGTCGACAATAATAACAAGTGTTCTGGCCCATCAGGCAATCTCTGCGGCGAATCTTTCCACAGGTGGGGCAAGGTGGAATAGGCTGCTGTTGTCGCGGACGGTTCCTGCGGTCGTCTTGGCCTCCCCTGTTCTTCCTCTTGTTCTTGTATCTTTGTTGTGGGGTAGTTGCTGGCTGAGCAGGTGGTGCTGATGATGATGGAGTGGAAGAAACCGGTTGAAGACGATCGTGATTGGCCTCCCTCCGTATGCTGGCATCAACTTCCTGCGCAATAATGACAGTACGGGCATAGGACTGAACTCCATGGCCCACGATGTTGTGACGGACTTTTGGCAAGAGTTCGTCAATGAAACGCTGCGCTCGTTGTGCCTCAGTACGCACTGGGTCAAGAACAAAAGCTCCGAGTCTGGTGAACTCTCTCTCGTACTCATCAACAGAACGAGTACCCTGCTTGAGCGACAGAAATTGACGCTCCATCTCTGCTCGGTAATACGTGGGATAGTACTGTTGGAACCCACGAGGATCTCGATATGCACAAATCACGAACAAACATTCAACATAAACCTATGCGCAGCGGATCTAAAGGTTTGATGAAGAAATCTTACTGCTTAAAATTTATGTAGATCTGACTGGCCCGGACAGTTGACCGCAAATCAAATCTTCTCAGAATCGAACAAACTTGACCAATCCAGAAAGCTGACGTCACGGCGAAGTCAACGACATTGACCGATCC